GCCCAGCTTCATGCAGTGCTGGGCCTTGAACCCAGGGCTCGGTGCATGCCAGACAGGTGCTCCATAGTGGAGCTACATCTCTACTCCCTTCCTTTCCTTATTTTATTTTAAGACAAAGTTTCAATTTTCAGCCCAACTGACTTGAACTCATGAACCCCTTCAGGCTGGGCTTCCAAGCATGCTGCGTTAAATACTCAGATGTCTGAGGGTGTGTGTGATAGGAATGCTGATGCTAACACATGGCAGAGGCCTGGTGGTGGCTCTGTGATGAGAACTGACATCAGCCACACAAATTTTAGCACCAGTCCTGTGTAGTCTTTGACCTAGTAAGCTTTTTCTTTGTGTTTATATTTGCTACTTATTCCTGTTGCCATCATAAAATACTCCGACAAAGGCAACTCAATGAAGAAAGGGCTTATTCTTGGCTTACCATTCAAGGGTAAGTCCATTAAGGCAGAGAAATGATGGCTCCAGGTACCTGAGGCAGGTGGCCACAGTTTGTGTGAAGTCAGGACACAGAAGACGCTGAGTGCTCAGCTTGCTTTCTTCTTGCTTAGTCCAGGACCCCAACGAATTGAACAGTGTCGGCCACAGTTAACCTAATATAGACAGTCCTTCAGGCTGTGCACAGAGGATTGCCTGCTGGGTGATTCTCAGTCCTGTCCAGTTGACAGTATTAACCATCCCAATACCCAATTTCTCTTTCTTTCCAGGATCTGTGGAGATATATGTTACCATTGTTAGTCCCTGTGTTCTGCTGGTTTTAGTACTCATTTTAGCAGCAGTTTATTGCCTCTGGACATGGTAAGAGCCTGCAAGACAAAGCACAGGTCAGTATCAAGAACTTAGCTTCAGGTGTTTGTGATCACAGTCACCAGACAGTGTTAGGGTGTTCTGGGGATGGGTGCTGGGGTGTTCTGTATTGTTTCTGATATTGCTTTAGGAAGAGTTTTTCCATCTGGTCCCTCCGTGACTCTGTGGAGAAGGGCCATGGAGCTGCTGCCTGTCCATGGGGTACGGCTTTCACTGTGCGTTGCATCTGACCTTATTAGTTGAGACCATGAACTGTGAGTGGACTATAGTGTTCTGCCACACACAGAATCCTCAGTGGAGGGAGTCAGGTCCCTCATTGCTCATATTTTGTTAACACCTTAGCGGGCTAACTGACCACAAGTTTTCAGTGGGGTGACCAAGAATTTCTAACTTCCTGCTAGATCTTTCTAAATTAAATTTCTGATCATTACAAAGCCAAATGAAGAGAATGGTGCAGCCGCTTCAGAGGCTCAGGATCCAGTGCAAATGTGTTGGTTAGAAGGTTCTAGGTAGTCAGGTGCATTGTCATCACTTACGGGCCTGCCAGGGCACAATCTGTGCAGGGCTAATGCTTCTCATTGTGCTACATTAGGAGAGGTGGGACAGTCAGACAACAGGATGCCGGCCGCAGCGCCTGCAGATATGCTTGGCAGCTAAGAGCACTTGATGCTCTTGTAGAGGGTCAGGGTTTCAGTTCTCAGCAGCCACATGGTGGCTCACAACCTTGAAAACATCTTCTCATCTCCACAGGGTCATGCACACACACACAGTGAAATAAACTCATGTAGGCACACACACAAACACATACAAATAATAGAGAAATAAGTCTGTTTCAAAAAGAAGGAGAAAAGAGGCTGCTGATACAAGGCAGACAAGCTGTTTTCTGGAACTTACTTTCCTGGTTGGGCCTGAGCCAATGAGAAACCTGTGCATTAGGTTTAAGGAAGTGTTTCTTGTGACACTGATTGTTGTCTTTTATTCTTACCTTTCTCTAGCTCTGATCAAGGTGCTGCTTGTCATCTTGCAGGAACCCCTAAGTGAAGAAAAGGCACAAAGCCTGAACCTTTGCAGCTATCTCTTCTGTCTTTATTTTGTCCTTCAAGTGGGCAGCTTCTTGACTTGGGGTCCAACCATTTGGTGTTCTGTTTGCTAAGAAAGCCTAAGCTGCAATTTTTAAAGATCAATTTTTAGGATTATTTTCTACATGAGATACTTAATCATGAAAACACAGTATGCCAGAACTTCCAGTGAAAACAGTCTTCGGGGGACATTTACAGCTCTAAGTGCCTATTAATATAAACAATTTAATGATACACCATAGGGCCTTGGAAAAATAAGCTCAAGCCAAACCCCAAATCTATTGTTGGAGTTAAGATTAGGGCAGAGATTAATCAAATGGAAACAAAAAAACATGTTAATGACTCCAAGGAACAAAGGGTTTGTCCTTTGTAAATCTGATCAACAAATCCTTACCCAGGTTTATGGAAGTGTTTGTGACACTGATTGCTGTCTTTTATTCTTTACTTTCTCTAGCTCTGATCAAGGTGCTGCTTGTCATCTTGGAGGAACCCTTTGGCTACCTGGCCGAAAGCAAAGCCGACCTTACTAAAGTCAGAGCCACTCAGAAGCTCAGGGAGCCACTAGGGCATTCTTTAAAAACAGATATTCCACTAAATTAGAAAATTTTAAAGTATTGGATGAATTACTCGGTGCATATGATCTACCAGAATTAAACCCAAATGAGGTAAATAATTTAAACAAATCTGTTAGGGCCAGGTGGTGGTGGTGCACACCTTTAATCCCAGTACTCTGGAGGCAGAGACAGGCAGATCTCTGTGAGTTTGAGGCCAACCTGGTCTACAGGTCTACACAGAGAAACCCTGTCTCGAAAAACAAAACAAAACAAAACAAAACAAAACAAAACAAAACGAACAAACAAAAAAACAGAAGCAAAATCCCAGATCTGTTAGGAGCAGTGAGATTGATGTGATGATGATGATGGTGGTGGTGGTGGTGGTGGTGGTGGTGATGATGACAATACAACAATGTCTCCAGACAAAGCAGTGTTGACGGGCCTTCAGTGAAGTGCTCACACCAGCTCTTCTGAAGACAGGAAAGGTCACCACCAAACTCTCTTACAAAGCCAGTATCAGTGTCATACCAAAACTAGATGAAGACACAAGAAGAAAGGAAATATTTTTTAACATTTATTATTTATTGATTTATTGCATGTGTGTGAGTTTATCCGTGGATGTGGAGGTCAGAGAAGAAAATTGCTGTGTTTTCACTAAAGTCAGGCAGGAGACAAGGATGTCTACTTTCTCTGCTCTTATTCAATATACTTCTTGGAGTCTTAGCTAGGGCAGTATGATGAGAGAAGCAAATAATTCTTTATACCTGTCTGTTTACCAATCATCTGTCTGTCTGTGTGTGTATGTGTTGGTCTATGTCTGTCTGTCTGTGTGTGTGTGTCTATCTATCTGTCTGTCTGTCTGTGATCAAGGCAAATAGAAGGAATATCAGGACCAATAAGATGGCTCAGCCTGGGCACTTGAGTTCCATTCCCAGAATACAAGTGAAGGTAGAAGGAGAGAGCCAACTTTGTATAGTTGCCCTTTGACCTCCACACACTCCCCAAGGCATGCCCTCCCATCATGCACAAACACAACAAAATAAGGAGTGTGGAGTGTAGATAGATAGGAAGGACATGCCAAGGTCTCCTTGTGCAAGTGATACGAATGAGAGACCTCAACAACTCCACCAGTAGACTGCTTATGTTGATGTTTTAAATGACCTATTTGGAAGCAAGTATTTAAAAGTGAATTTGTAAAGCTGAGTATCTGAACTTGATGTGTTATTCAAAAGTTTACAAAGCCAAGTGGCCGGTGGTTGCTCTCTTTTATATGAAATATATTGTGACCAAGGAAAGACTTGACAAGTACAGCCCTGCTATTTGAAGCTCTTATCTACCTCTGTTTGCCTTGAGATAAGTGTTTTGTTATATGTATGAGATGCATTTGCACTTCAGAGAAAGGGTCTGTTTGTGGACCTTACAGTTTTACTGGCCAAAGAGTCTTAAGTTATTCTTCACTGATAGAGAAGAGATTTCTGTGCAATGACCATGATTAGTTCTGGCTCCTTTATGTGCTAAAGGTATTTGTGTTCTGTTGTGTTACATAAGCCTTCTAAGATGCAAAGCTTGGGGGAACAGGAATTTATGTTCTCCAAACTAGAACTGAGGCAGGATAGAAAAACGGGGGAGAAAATGGAGAGAGGATGGAACCCCTGCTCTGGAGTCTGGTTGGAGCCTCTCACCAGCTTAAAAGAAAGTTTTGGTGTAATTCGTGTTTATGAATTGTGTGACAGTTGTTATCAACAGGGACATTTATGTTAGGAGTGTTAAAATAGCAATACACCAGTCCTCCGTATCCAGGGTCCCAGGCAAGGCCTCCCCCTCCCTGTGTTTTGTGAACCTCCCAAATAAGAATAGCTTTGTTTACAATGGGATGTCTAACTGCCTGTATCTCTGCAACCTAGACTTGTTGCCCTGCCAGGTGCACCTCAGGGATCACCCTTTGGAGACAGTGACTTCCAAAGCCACCATAACTCTGTGTATAATTTAGACACAGCACTGCACACCTTTAACCTACCACTGGGAGGCAGATCTCTGTGAATTTGAGGCCAGCTTGATCTACATAGTGGGTTCCAGGCCAGCCAAGGCTGCACAATGAGACAATGCCTCAAATAAGTAAGATAAATAGTAAATTCTATGTAATAATACTATAAAGCCCATGAAGGGAGGTTGTTCTCTGGGAAGCCCACAACCATGGGCCTTGATTTATTTATTTTTATTTTTTACTTTCAAGTGCCTTATTCTTGATCCTTGTGTTAAAATGTATGGTAACATCTCTTTGTAATAAACTCCAAATATCCTTTACGATGGTTTGTTTTGAAATTCTTTTCTTCAGTGAAGTCAGAATCTGAGTTTTTCTGTGGCAAAGTTAAGAATCGATCTGTACCTGAGTCAAGATCTCTGAAAGATTAAAGAGCGCATGTGGCTGCTGGTGGTAGTTCTGTGCTGTCCCCACGACCACTGCTACAGGCATCTTTTGTTAGATTGTTTGGAACCTTGTGGGTGTATGATACTTTTGTTTCTTTGTTTCTCCTGTTTTCTGTTAGGACCCACAGGGTATATAGTAAGTATCCTGACTTATGAAAAAGCAATCCTGGAAGACAGCCACTCTGTTCCTGGGTCAAATTAGGCACTTGGCAGCCTTCCTGGGGACATCATTATGAGGGTGATTCTCCAGACATAGCAAACGTCTTTTCTAGTTAGGGTTTCTACCACTGTGAAGAAACACCATGACCAAAGCAACTCAGAGAGGAAAGGGTTTATTTGGCTTACACTTCCATATCACTGTTCATCATCAAAGGAAGTCAGGACAAGAACTCAAACAGGACAGGAACCTGGAGACAAGCTGATGCAGAGGCCATGGAGGGCTGCTGCTCACTGGCTTGCATAGTCTGCTTCCTTATAGAACCCAGAACCACCAACCCAGGAATGGAACCACCCACCATGGACAGGGCCCTCCCCCATCAATCACTAATTAAGAAAATGCCCTACAGGCTTGCCTACAGCCTGATCTTACACAGACATTTTCTTTATTTTTATTTTAAAGGTTGTGTAAGGCCAGATAATGAGGGTGTTACAGTCCTGGTTGATCTGTTAATGATTATCAATGAGGAAGAAAAGAGCAGTGGCCTAAGAAAGATTTCCACGTTGCATTTGGTGTAACCATCCACCAGTGATGTAACCATTTAGTTAACTATCTGTTAACCACCCAGAGACATCATTCAGACTCATCTCTCTACACCAGTCATTTTATGATTGCAATTTCTAGACCTGAGGTAACAAAATACATTTATTAAAAAAGAAGCACATTAAATTTTTATTAAAACCACAGCTACTTAACTGAAATTAAGGCGTGGGTCACTTTAGAAAGCAGTATCTGAGAACAGTATTACTATACACCAAAGGCTGATGCACCATGACCGAACACCTTTGAGGTATGCTTTTTGTGTCTTAGTCTTTAAACTTATGTTTATTTAGACAGCACGTGGTAGCATGACAACTGACGGTTTATCATAAACACAAAACTCCTGAGAGATGCTCTGAGTGATGTGTTAACTGCTAAGATTGTGGGAACCTTTCTCAAGGCCATAGTGGCATGTACACCTCTCAACACAGCAACATCTGCCATTGTCAACGACAGCTTACAGCTTCTCCAGGTTCTCGTCCCTTCCACAGATGTCAGCCACAGCATTGTGTGACTAGTGACTCAGTATGAAATAAATTCTCTCCAGCACTCCTTATGGAATCAGTCCTCTATAAATACTGCAAAATACATTGTCAACCTGGATGGCAGAGTTCCATGGCCTAAAAGGTGTAACTCCTGTCCCAGCCGTGGCTGCATGGCCAGGAAAGTGAGCACCGTGATGAGCTCCTGCATTCTTCACACCATGCTCAAGCACAAAGTCAGTGTAGTTTCCATGTGCAGCCCAGGGTTGGGGCACAGCCCTTGAGATCCCCTGGTTTCCACCCCATTGACAGTGGTCACTGGTGGCAGAGAGCCATGTCCTGTTGAGTTGGTCTGCTGCAGAATTCTGTGGAAGGTTCTCTTTCTCCACCAGCAGAGGACCAGAGGGTGAGGAAGGAGTCACAGGCTCAGGAGACATCTCATCCCAAACTGACTGGGAGTCATTACTCTGGGTTGAAGCATTATGCATGCCAAGATCTTCAGGTTGTGTTGTGCTTACTTTCATCTGTAGGGAACGCTGGAGTATTGCTTGCTGGGCCTTCTTCTGCAGGAGGTCATCATCTTGTTTCGTTAGTTTTGTGATCTGATACCGTTTTCCCACTATCTAATCATGATCCTGGCCAAATGAATCCTGATTGATGCAAACTTTTGGACAGGTCCTTGGAGGCAGAAGAAGGCCTAGTCCTCCATAGCCCACTTCTGTAAGCCTTTGCAGGCTTTGGATGAACTAAAGACAAAGGTGTGCTTCTGCTCTGTGCCCTGGTCAGCATCTTCCACAGCCACGGGAGTTAATTTATTCCTAAAATCCAATCTGGTTACCTTGGGCCATAATAAAAAGTTGGCTCCAAGCCATAGTCATTCCTATCTCTAGCTTTGACCACATGCATATCAACTCCATCCATTTCTAACTATTTGGCTTTATTCAGCTACTTGGTTTCAGTTTGTCCTGGAGTCTGACATCTGTATTCTTCCCATTTCTCAAAAAATAGCCAATTCAGCACATTCAGTCACCAAGTTCAGCTTGCTGATTATAAGCTGCCAACTGAACTGCTGTATCAAAGGGAAAGTCTAATTTCCCACAGAGAATATCTTGTTTGAACTGAAGAACAAGTAATACCAGTTAGCTCCTCATGAAGATTATTTGGTTTCTAGGAATAAAACTTAACTCCAAGATGAAGACAATAGGATGAACCATTTTTCACTTTTTTTTTTTCACACTTTTTGTATCTTCCAACCAATGTGCCACTTGGGCTGAATCCATGAATCTCAGACACAAACAGTCACTTCCATGAAGACCAGGTGATGCACAATTTGATCAAACAGCTCTTTCCCTTTGGCCTTTTTTGGTGGGTCCACACTTTCCACAAGGGACACCTGCACGTGAGGTGGGCTGGGCATCCTAACTGCAGGAATGTGTGCCGCACACTGTGCCTGTCTGAGTCACTTCTCAGAATGTTTGCACACAGATGAGTGGCCAAGTGTTCTTCACAGGATGCCCAGCATTTCTGTACCAGGTGGTGGTGGAGGTGGAGCTGGGGCTGGAGGTGGAGGTGGTGAAGACCACGTAACAACAGAGACCACAGTGACCTGACCGCATTCAACCCCTGGAAGAATCCCCGTGGAGGCATTTTCTTAATTGAGGTTCCTTCCTTTCAGAAGACTTTAGCTAGTGACAAGTTGACATGAAACTATCCAAGAGAGCTGCCAAAGACCCCAGTGAGGTGAAGCAAGCCTTCATTGACCCAGAACTGATCTCACGAAGCAGCAGTGTGTTTATCCGAAATCACCCCATCCTGTGAATTCCCAATCTGTTCCCTCCAGTCCTATAGGATGGAGATTTCAGGGTGTGGGGTGTCTCCATCATGCTTATCAGGCTCATAGGCAAGCCTAACAAAGCACACACTGCTTCTGGATTAGAAGGCATTTCATTGGCTCAGCGGGGGAAGACGTGTTGGTTGTTCCTTCAGTGTTCAATCCCCTTAACAACAAGCCCCAGTGTTGGGAACTGACTGGAGGACAGCTGAAGGAAGTGCTCCCCAGAGCAGTACAGTGTGGACCCCAGACAACACTAGCAATGGCCATTTGGAGGGACCCACAGTGCCTGCTTCAGGTAGGGAACTCAGAAGTGTGGCAAAAATCCTATCCCATGATGCTTTTTGTCTCTATCTTTTTCTTTCTTTTTCACACACAGGCAAAGCCAGGGGGAATTAAACATCTTTTCCTGAGAACTTGCCCTTCGCTGCATTTTATGGAATTGGGGCCACTTTAAAGCAGAAGATGTATAAAAATAGAGATTTGTTACATTTGTTTTCTGGTTTGGTCACAGAACAAGTTAGAAAATGGAAACTTGGACTATAACAATTTTATGCCTGGATTGGTTCTTTAGAGAGATGGGGATGGATCTTCAATCTTTTTCTTTTCTGTTCTTTTTGAATCCATTCTTGTTGTTTGAGAGTGTTACTTTAATCACAGTGTTTCTTCCTTCCCTTCCCCCACTCTGAAGGCTCTTCAGTTCCCAGTATTCAGACGCTGATCTCACTGTGTAGGATTTGCTATCCTCATTGAATGAATATACAATGATTCCTCTAACTTGGTGCTTGCTTGGGATGTTCTAGTCAGTGTTTACATATGTTCACTTTAAATGTCTTAAAATCATGAAAATTCATAACATTTGTTAAAATTCCCTTTTTCTTTTTCTGGTGGTACTGGGGATTGGTCAGGGGCCCCTGTGCACACCAGGCAGGTGTTCAACCGCTAAGCTTTAGCTCCAGCTCCTGGGATTTTCTGAGGCCAAAATGGCAAATTTGAAGACAACACAAGACTACAGTTCACAAACTGCTAACACAATAGTCACAGAGCCGAAGGGCCTGAGAACTTGTCACAGAGAAAGATTGTGTTCCCAGCATTCCCAGGCAGCCATTCAGCCTGCTACTTTCCCCCTTCCCAGGGAATGCAGGCTTGTCCGCATCTCTCAGTTACCACGGAGATTAGAGAAGACTGATGCCTGGCTTCCATGCCACGGATTGAGATGCATTTCTTACACTTTATCTGATCAGTTTTGCACTGAAATGCTTTGGCTTCTGCCTTGAAGAACAGGACCCCAGGTCAATGCTGCTTCACAGGAGCTCACAGTCCCTCTCCCTTGTCACTATTCTGCTTTTTTTCCAGGGAAGGCCAATGCAACATGGGATAGAGACACCGAGGGCAGAGTGGGAGTTTGGCCACAATTCAGAGAAGGGATAGTGCCAGTTAATTTTCTTTCTTTGCCCGGAAGAGCTCCAGCAAGACACTAATACCACCTATTCCCAACTGACTCTCCAGGGTCACCTGTTCTGAGGAACAGGGTCGAGAACACAGTATAGTTATAGAAGAAAGGAAGGGAGGTGGGCCAGCCTCACAAGGGGACAAGTCCTGTATGGATGGGACTGTGACCCCCCACGTGTGCAAACTGTGAATACGGCCTCGTGTGAGAAGGGTCTTTGCAAATGTGACTAATTATTTAGGATCTTAGGATTCATCCGGAATAGCAGCCAGTGTCTGTTACTGCCAAGCCACCTCTCCAGCCCTGTGACATCATCATTGCTTTATTCTATCTCCACCGATGAGCACCTGTGTGGCTC